GTATTGTTGAATGGGTCAGGGGGGTACAGTCCTGTAGTATTTGGTTGAACGGGTCAGGGAGGTACAGGCCTGTAGTAATGGTGAACGGGCCAGGGGAGCCTTGATCGATGTTCATGATTTCAATCACTGGATTGTCTGGCCCAGACGAGACTATTTACAGACCGCCGTCATCCAGCTGGAATATTGCTCAGAGCGGCGTTAAACAACAAACAAACAAAAAACAAAGAAAAGCAAATAGCTCTGTATGACTCTTGCCACATGCGGCCCGGCGTTGAAACGTCATGATGGTTGAGGAGAGGAAGGACGACAGGCTGAATGATCTCCCCTGCGTTAACATGCTCTTCAATGACAACAAGCCGAGCTCTCTGGGTTGCTGTTGTCGTCAGATCTTGCTCTGCCTCCACTGAAACAGTCTTCTTTCGGAAGTTCAATATATTTACTTCTTAGACAGTCGCATTTTGGACAAACTAACAGAAAATGAAACTCATCTTCAGTCACATTTGAACCACATTGCTCACATATTCTCAATTCTCTGGCTCTGTTTCTATGTCTGCCTACTTCGATCTTAAGTCTATGAGTGCTGTATCTAAATTGTGGTAAACCTATTCTTAAGTCTTTAAAAATGTATATCAAACAAATAGTTTTCTAGGGAAATAGTTGTCTTAAAAAGCTTGTAATAATTGCATTTTTCTGAACTTAAAACATGCGATGGCCATTTGTGAAAGTAAATATCCTTAAGTCTTTTCAGTATAGATACTGAAAACGAATCTGGATTGTTAGGTACACATTGATTATGCCAAACATACCCCTAGCCGCATTCATTAAATAAAGACTTTACATCATATACCCAATTGCGAAGGCCATGTTTGTCATAAAATAACATCACATTATAACATTTTCTTGGTAATCTATCTATAGGCATTTTAAGAATCTTGAGCCAATACAGAATTCTAACATGTTGAAATATGTTAAGTGGTAAACGTCCACATTCACCATATTCCATAACACTCGTTGTTCAGTTTTTGTACGCCAAGGAATCGTTTACAAGCATATAGATGGACCAGTTCAATAGTTCTGTATTCAGCATTACCCCAGACCTCTGCTCCATATAAATGAATTAGGGTTATTGTTGTATGAAATATTATTTAAAAAAAGAATTATATGAAAGATTAGTCAAAGTTTTTAAACTATGTATGATTCACATTAGTATCTATTTTGCCTGCATTGCTGCATTACTAGTGTGGAAATTCCACGATAATCTGCCTGTGAAAGTAACCCCTAGATATTTATATGAAGTGACAATTTGTAACGGTTGTGAGTTGAAGAACCATTTTCCCTACTTAATAGTGTATTTCCCTTTTTAAAAACTAACACTTTCATTTTCTCAGTGTTTACTTGGAGTTTACAATAAGAACAGTACAGCTCCAGTTGATCTAAAGAATTCTGTAAACCTTTGATCGTACTAGAGAACAGAACTATATCATCAGCAAAAAGCAACAGAAATATCTTAACAATATCTGGATGCAGCTGTATACCATCCGTATAATTATCCTTCAATTGTGCAGCCTGTTCACTGATGAAAAAACAAAACAAGAAGAGGCTAAGAATACAGCCTTGGCGTACACCAATGTTACATGTGAAGATATCAGAATATATTCCCGGGTTTTGAACACATGACCTTACATTTTGATAAATATTTCATAATAATTTACCCACTTTGTTACTCACACCATTTCAAAGAGAGAATGGCCACATTATATTTCTGTTCACCGAATCAAACGTCTTTTTTAACTCTTTTTAAAATTTCATAAAATTGTCCACCTTTTCTCTGCATGTATTTGTGAATAATCGCATTAAGTATGGAAATATTATCCGTGGTTGAGTACCCTTGTCTAAAACCTGCTTGTTCTTCCGAAATTTTATTTAATGAATCTGACCAAGATGAGCCTTTTACTGATAATAGAAACAAATATTTTGCTTAAAACACTCAGAAGGGTAATTCCTCGATAATTGTTTGTATCAGTACATGATCCTGATTTATGTAGTGGAATAATCACATCAATAGTCCACTCTTTTGGGAAATAAGACGTAATTCGTAAAAGTAGACGTAAACAGTAATTCAAGGTATGGGAGTAGATAGATATGTACAGTGTGTCCCTTCATTCAAATAACATAGAAGCAAAAATCAAGGACGCCATGGGAACTAAAATCTAATGTTTTACTAGCCTTGGCAAAATCCCATTGTAATTTTTAAACAATGGGAAAATTTGGAAATTTAATTGTAATAGCCCCGCATAAGTGGGCTGGTATTAACTTCGATGTCATTGTCCTGATTATATATTTGTGTGCAGTAGAGCAATAGAAATTGGCACCAGACATATAGTCCATGCCAAACAGACCAATAGTTAAGGTATCATGAGGACTAGTAGAAATTTGTCATTTATCATTATAATATAAGGACTAGTGGACTAAAATGTTAGTTTCTATAGCTGCATTTGCAAATTTTCATGGATGTTGCTTATGAGAATTGGAACTCGGGAACAGTACTGCTGACTCATGTTTTGAAATTGATCAAGGGGAGATAATGTGATTTGTTTATGTCCTATATTACCTCCCTTGGAGACACAATTTTTGCAATTTGCTTCATGGAAGTTTGTCATGTATTTTATACACATGCACAGAAGTTAAGCGCCACCCACCATATTTGTGAGCTGTTACTTTTGGCATTTAATGATGACTATTATAACGAGATGTACGATTGTTATAAGCCGTATATGTAGACCTCATGTGATGCAAAAGTTGTCCCAAAGCAAGTTTATCTTGTGTTTCAAAAGAATATGAGCAGAAAGGAATTTTACCGAAGACCAGAAATTGAAGGATTAGAAAACATTGAAAAACTTTTTTTGTCATGTAACTGTCATGATATCAGGACACCATATCAGGTGTCACATAGACACCCTAGGGAGTGCAGAGTCTATTGCAAGACAGAAACGTCAGTAACGTGTGTATGATCCACGGACATTGACCACAGCTTCAACCCTATGCCTCATACTCATTACAAGTCGTTGAATGCTTCTCTGAGGCAAACGGATCCATTCTTCGTGAAGTGCGGCTTCAAGTCCAGCGAGATTTTGAACTGGGGGATCACGATGTCTGATTTTCCGGCCAAGAATGTCCCAGAGATGCTCAATCGGATTAAGATCCGGACTACAGGCCGGCCAAGGAAGAGTGGCAATAGCTTCTTGACGCAATAAGCCAAAACTGCCCGAGATCTGTGTGGTCTAGCATTGTCGTCCATGTAAACAGGTCTTGTCTGAAAAGGATGGTTGTCAAAATGAGGGACTGACACTGGACGAAGAACGGCATCTTGTTATTGTTGGTCATTCAGGTTTCCACGAATTGTCACCAGCGGAAGATTGCAGCCGAAGGAAACACAACCCCATTACATGACAGACCCCCCGCCACATGCTAAGGTCTTCTGGATGTTCCTTGGTGCAAAACGAGTGTTACGTTGCCTCCAAACACGTATTCGACCATCAACAGTTCGTAGCAGCATTCGACACTCGTCAGACCAATGGATCCTTCTCCAGTTGGCCAAGTTCCATCGACTACGGGCACGACACCATATCAGACGATTCCGCATGTGCCTCTCAGTCAGTTGAGGACATTTTACTGGTCTTCTGGCGTTATAACCAGCCGCTCTGAGGCGACGCCTTCCGGTCATCGTCGAGAGTCTCTTCTGATGGGTAATCCACTGCAGTCTTAAATCTGTTGAGTGGCAAATGGATTTCGTCTGACTATCCTGAAAAGACGTCTATTCTCTCTGTTAGAGGTCTTTCTTGGCCTACCAGACCTATGCCTGTCATTGACATTGGTTTGACCATGTTTGACAATCAAACGAGTGATAACACTGTGATGACGACCCATTTGTCTTGCAATGGCCCTGCATGACATGCCAGCAATTTTCATGCCTATCACTTGCCATCTTTCAGCGTTCGTTAACTTTCTCCTCACCATGGCTGATTTTCAACCTCTATTGGAAAGGGAATCTCACACAGGAGCAAAATGCAACCAGGTGTCTGAAACTTGAATTTCACTATTTATAGGGTAGGGGAACTGCAGCAACACGTAAAGCACGCTTTCCTTGTGGTATCTGGGCAAATTTGGGCTCATGAAACTATGGAAGCCTAATTCAGTCATACATCATCATATTTCGTATTTCTGATTCCCACACGTGAAATCAAGAGACTATGAATATGGTGGCGCTTAACTTTTGTGCATGTGTATAGATGGTAGTGGTCCAGAACCCCTATTACCTATACTCCTTGTTTTAATAAAGAATCATTCGGCTTTAAGAAAAATACTATCATGTCAGAAATGACATGTTGTATTATCTCTTAACGACAGAAATGACATGTTGTATTATCTCTTAACGACAGAAATGACATGTTGTATTATCTCTTAACGACAGCATGAACAGTGAAACTAAATCTGCACCATCCAACGTTGAGAGTCTAACTTTTCACATAATTGTCAGTTCTCATTATAATATTGGCCATTACGTCAGCATTACCATAGAACCCCACACTAACGTGATCACTGAATATTAATACTGTCGTGTCCATAAGCACAGTGTGCATATATTGAAACCTTCTTTAGTCGAACACAACCCAGGCAAGACCTCCGTTTCACTGAGCGTTAAAAAATCTGCCATCGGGAACGCCTTTTATTGAATTGTATTGACATGTTCAGTTAGCATTAAAACCAACTCACTCAGCCATCACATGTGGGGGTTTTTACCTGTATTTTTATGATAATATTAGAACAACATTTACATTATCAAAGTTGTTATAAATATGGCAATACATATAATTTGAATGTGAATAGATGTATATTTGACAGATGCGTGATATAAAGTAGTGGAATGGTTATTATGAATACACATACCAGTCTAGCTGTTCTCAGGGGTCAGTCACATCAGCGTTAACCAGACATCGTCAATGGCGAAGGTGTCCGTCTCTGAGGCTGACTATGTCGTCATCTGTGGATTCCTGTCACTGTCTGTGGGGATAGGGCTTTATTACGCCGTCAGGGGGAGGAGGAGGAACACCAGGGAGGAGTACCTGATGGGGGGACGGCGTCTCCACGTCATCCCGGTGACGCTGTCTCTGTGCGTGACGTACTTATCATCGACGTCCTTCGTCGGGATGCCCGCTGAAACTTTCTCTAGTGGTTTTACGTATGCTTTTGTAAGTCTAGGTTGTGCTGTGGCGATGTTCATCACCGTCTTCACTGTGGTGCCAATGATGCATTCACTGCAGTTGACCAGTGTTTATGAGGTACAGTAAGCAAAAACACAAGGTTAGTTTATAAAACTCTTTGGTAGTGTTCCTCGATGGAATGACTGGACTGTGTACTGAGTGTTGCCGGATGCACCAACAAACAAACACTTCCTTTTGTGTGAACAGTGTATGCGAGGCTGGTGCTGCCGGTAGGGCAGGACACGCTTACCCTTTTCGCGAACACCTGGTGTCATCACTGATTTTCAGTGATCCATTCTCATAATATTCATCACTATTTTGCCTTCAACGCCAAATGAAATGTACTTTGGCAGATATTCGGGACTTATTCTCTGGCGTTAATTCTTTGTGTATATTATGAAGAACGTATGCATGTTTTAAATTAAAATGCAATTATTGATTTGAGATGAAAGAGATGTGAAAACGTAGAATTTTTTCCAAGGAGTAAATATTGATCTGAATCCATCCTATGTCCATTTCACCGACGGCTTCATCATCACCGTCGTTGATGTGATTGTTGTTTATGTCATCTGCAACATCGTTTGGTATATACTTGACCTGACCTATCTCATTTGAATATGTCGTATTTTGAATGTCCTGCTTTACTGTTAGAGACGTTAGATCACGTGTCAAACAGCTGAAATTAAGTTGTTGTTTTTTTTATATCGCACTGCCATCACCCAAAACTATATAATCTAATTAGCTTTTAAAGTTCAAAGGAAGGATTGCTCGCATTAATTTCACGGCGCATTATAAGCCAGGGATGGATTCTCGCATGATTTGGTGACGCATTCATTCCATGATTTACTGTATCCGAAGTATCCATTGTTCTCAGTTCCATTGATCGTTAGTTGATAGGGTATATCGAATAGGTCGAATTCAGATTTCCACCAAAATTATGAATAGAAGGTTTATTTATTTTCTCAAACACATTCGGAAATTTATGAAAATAATTCAGATCCCCAATTAAAGAGTTTTGGAAATTACAAATTTGCAGATGACTTTCAAACTGAGATTAGAGAGGGTACTGAGATACTTTACGATGGATGATTAGTTACACGTCATGCCCGACTGACAAACTATAACTCACTCAGGGAATAGAAAAGAATATGATAGAAAAGGAAATAATGGCATTTGAATTTGGTAAAGACAACTCAGTTTTAATATACTATTTGTCATTACAGTATTTCCAACTGCGGTTCGGGTCGGTGGTGCTGAGACGATGTATCAGTGTGGTGGGGATGATGCAGAACGTAAGTTAACGCTGTGTGAGTGAGTGTGGTTTTACGCCGCGTTTAGCAATATTCCAGCACTATCACGGCGGGGGACACCATTGTACCCATGTCGGAAATCAAACCCGGGTCTTCGGCGTGACGAGCGAACGCTTTAACGACTAGGCTACCTAGTGTGAAATGACTGAGGGACAGACTGAAGGTTGTACAATTCCAGGAACATTGTGCTTCCTTTCTGCGTTTGTTTTCAGAAGTCTGAATTGTGTTTCACAAGCTTGTAATGCTTTCTGATACAGTTATTGATTGGAAACTTCGATTATGTTTGATTACAGAACGTTTTGAAATATATTTACCTTCCAGATCTTCTACACAGCTGTAATTTTGTTAGCGCCAGCAGTTGCCATAGAAACAGGTAAACTAACGATCAAAGTTATTCACCTTGTACTACTTGGGCTTAAAAGTAAGGGTTATTAAAAGTCCATACATATTATCTAAATGTATTTAAGAATTTGGAAGTCAATACACAGCTTCGTTGAAATTGCTATGCGTCATCAATCATTTATATTTTCATATTTTTTTTACCTCTGTTTTGTTTTTTCGCTTGATAGTCGAGTCTGGTTCTTCTCTATCGTTGACGTTTTATAGTTGCTAAAATCCTTTGCAAATAACGTTTGTGTCCTCACAGTTGCTGGTCTCCCATTGTGGGTGTCGGTGCTGCTTGTGGGAGCTGTTGCAACACTCTACACGGCCATTGTGAGTTCCTCGTACATCATCATTGATCGTTCAAGAATGCTCATCATATCCTACATCATAAAATAAAAAACACAACACAATGTGATCCTATGCCATAATCTGTAGATGGTTTCTATTTTCCTCACATTTTTCTGGTTCAGGGTGGACTACGGGGCGTGGTCGCTGTGGACGTATTCCAGGCCCTTATCTTGGCTGTTGGGTTGTATTCAATATTGTTTAAGGTAAAGTATTTCATCCCGTACAGTGTTTCGCGAACACCTGGTGTCATCATTGATTTAAAGGGATCCGTCACATAGTATTCACACCTATTTTGTCTTTAACGCCAAGTGGAATCTGTTTCGGCAGATAATCTAATGTGGTTAATCTAAGGCGTTAACGTTTTAAAGTGAGTGAGTATGGTTTCACGCCACTTTTAGCAATGTTCCAGCAATATCACGGCGGGGGACACCATGTCGGGAATCGAACCCGGGTCATCGGGGTGACGAGCGAACGCTTTAACCACTAGGCTACCCGACCGCCCTTTAACTTTTCGTTTTATAGTATGTTCTGTACTTATGGTAGCCAAGCGGCATTACCAGCAAAACTATACCTGTATTTGTGAGGATCCCAAACTCAAGCCTATGGATTCTAAGAAAATATTCCAGGAGCTTATTATGCTTCACTGCTGCGGAAATTGTGGGACGCTATCAAGCTTAAGAGGCGTGGCATGCTGACCAAGGGTGTCCGTCTCCTGCAAGACAATGCTCCAGTACACAACTCTCATGTTGCCCAGACAGAAGCGCGGTCCTGTGGCTATGAAATCCTTCCACATCCTCCTTACTCTCCTGACCTTGCACCATCTGACTTCCACCTCTTTCCAACCATGAAGTCATTTTTAAAGGGAAAACGTTTCACAGATGATGAAACACTGATTTCTGAAGTCAAGTCCTGGTTTGAGACGCAAAATGAGGGCTTTTACAAGCGAGGTCTCCATAGTTGCATAAAACGATGGGAGTAGTGTGTAACTCTAGGTGGTTCCTATGTGGAGAAAGACTAATACCTATGCCAAGTTTCATTCCACTAGGGCCATCGGAAGTGGGTCAGGGGAAATCTTTAATGAACACCCCTCGTGTTTCAATGCATCAGCTCTGACGTAATAATGTCTTTGTTTCAGGGAGTGCATGACATCGGCGGCATCGGACTGACCTGGGATCTGGCAGTCCAGGGAGGGAGAGTCCCGCCTGTAGAGTAAGATTTCTATATGGACATTCCTTAAAGGAGTTTTCAAGTAAACAATGTTTGTTTATTTGTTCTTTAACGCCGCACTCAGCAATATTCCAGCATCAACCAAGTCAGTGAGCCTGACCACCCGATCCCGTTAGTCGCCTCTTACGACAAGCATATTCGCCTTATTGCTGAAGACCAATTAAACAATAAACAAAGTAAACAAATACGTGTTTCCTTCACCTTAGTTCCTCTGCTGGTGTTTTTTTTAAATACATCCAAGCAAGTAAGGCATGCTTGAAAATGTGTGCGACCGTTTGTATCCCCTGTTTCAGTTTCAGTGCGGATCCCCGTGTACGTCACTCGTTCTGGTCTCTCGTGGTGGGAGGTGCCTTCATGTTCATGGCGTATATCTTCGACCAATCAGCAATACAGAGGATGTGCGCGCTACCTAGCGTCAGACAGGCCAAACTGTGAGTTATAAGGACATAAACTGTATCAGTCAGTTATCATCTTTGTGATAGGTGGCCTAGCCGTCTAAGGCAGCGCATTTTGCCAGTGTCAGAAACCAATGTTTGTGGGTTCCAATCCCGGTTCTATTTCCTGGTGTTTCACCACACGTGCTCCTTGGTTTCACCAAAGTGGTAAACGTCATATACCTGCATCACATCGTCAAGCTTACACGCCGTGATATAACTGAAATACTGTCCAAAAGGGGGTTCACCCAACACACTCACTCACTCACTCTGTGACAGATTGAGTGGCGTTTTAAAGATTGGATTGGATCATTTGCGATATCTGACATAATTATGATAGCACAGGTTTTAATAGGACTTCCTCTTATGAAATACCAATATTCTCATATCAAATAATAACACGTGATGATCATGTGTGTGTGTGTGTGTGTGTGTGTGTGTGTGTGTGTGTGTGTGTGTGTGTGTGTGTGTGTGTGTGTGTGCAATGGGTTTATTTCAAAGGATGATAGGAAATGAAGAACTGTTCTGTCAAACATGAAGGAGCAACAAAGGTTGTCTAAATGAAGTTCCGGATTTCGTAACACAAGAACGTCGTGCAGATGGTCAGTGGTGACGTCAGGTTCACTCTCTGTTATGACCACCACGTGATTGCATAACCAAACGGCAACGTCTAGGCATTTACTGTATTAGTCTCTGAATCTTGGCCTGGGGAATCCTTCTCCACTCCTCCTGCAGTGTTCGAGCCAGTTCATGAAGTGTTGCAGGCTGTGGTTGACGCTGTCGTAGACGGCGACTGAATTCCTGTGTAGGATATTGCCTCCCACATCATGACGCTTCCTCCATCAAATCTGTTCACCTGACGTACACAATAACGGGCAAAACCGAAATCGTCTTTGTAAAAGACAACGAGAGTCAATACAAAACCAAATTCGTATCCAATGCCGCAGATTCCATATCTGAACGTAAGTACACTAACGAACGCGTTGAAGACGGCGATGACGTCGTGAGATGCAGCCATACTTAAACATAGACTCACTTCAGCCGTAGCGCTAAGATGCCTTTGTGGAACGGGCCCCTGTCTCTGAATCCACGCTGGTGAACACGAGTCCGTGCAGTCTGGGCGGATATCCTTCGTAGTCCTGGCACGTTCGAAGCTTTTCATAATTGCAAAATCATATAACAAATTTGTAGATAGATGTTTTCTCTTTACAGCCAAGTTTAGCCTGTACGTTTTCCATAATTTGCACGTGTGAAACGATTAAAGAGAATTGTTTTAGATATTTGTAAACAACGCACCCAAAGCTAAAATTTCACATCAAAATAGCACAATTTCCTACACCAAACACTCGCACCCGTAGATGTAGATGACCTATGGAGTATTTCAACAATTTAGAAACCATCTTGGTGAAAGAAACAATATTTATTATCGTGTAATCGGTTATGCAGGTTTTTTGGTAGAGTATATACATGACCTAAATATAGATTTTTCAGGTTTAATCAGCTATTAAAATGAAACTTAACGCCATATCATGTAATGCTGTAAGAATCTATTCAATCCTGTTTTATCGCAGTAATTCTTCAAAGGGGTTCAGGGATAGATTCCAGTTTCCACTTGTCTATAATTGATTACTAAAATGGCTAATTGGTGGTCGGAAGGTTGTGATGATGCGATCAGATGCTGATGCTGCCAGTCATCTAGTTCTGGTTCCACCCTCAGTTAGTTATAGAGAGCCGTGATGCAGTTGTCATATTGCACAGTTACCCATAAAACACGGGCTAGAATTGGTCTTCATTAGCCTATGCTTGTCGTAAGATGCGCCCAACGTGATCGGGTGCAGGCTCGCTGACTTGCCGCCGTCATGTAGCTGGAAAATTGTGAAGTGTGACGTTAAACAACAACAAGAAGCAAACAAACAAACAAAATAAAAAACACACTGATTTTTGTTTTGTTTAACGTTGCACTCAGCAATATTCCAGCTATATTACGGCGGTCTGTAAATAATCGAGTCTGAACCACACAATGCAGTGATTGACATCATGACAATCGATCCACGAAATTGGGATACGATGACATGCTTTAACCAAGTCAGCGAGCTTGAGCACCTGATCCCGTTAGTCGCCTCTTACGACAAGCACACATATTGCACAGTGTCGTCTCCTTACCTGTTACAGCGTCTATGCCGCCACTGGCGTCGTGGTGAGTATCTATGTGGTGAGCATAAGTTTCCTTGGAGTCGTGGCCTACAGCTACTACACAGTTCAAGGATGTGACCCGTTCAAGGCTGGATACCTCAAGAACAGAAACCAGGTAATACTGGGTTAGGCTTTACAATCGGTTTTGTTAAAACTGTGTGAAATGAGTAAGTTTGGGTTAACAGAATTCCAGTTATATTACGGTGTATCAGCTTAATGTGGGAGGAAATCTCGAAGTGATGCAAGTCTGAGACGTTTCCACCTTGGTGAAACCCACGAGCACGGGTGTTGTGCTGACAAACATGGAAATATAATCGGGGCGAACCGGGATTCGAACCCACAACTATAGGTTGCTGCCCACGGGACGCAACTCTGCACAACGAATTGCGGCTCCTTAGGCGTGCCCCCTCGAATAAGCGTATTTTTTTCAAAAAAAGAAAAACCACTGCATTCACCATGATGTCGGCATGTCGCTTTCAGATGTGTCTAAACGTTTACCCTCTAAGCCATAACGTCAGCATAGTCACGCCCTATGTCTTCATGTCCAAGGCATTATGCCAGCATATATACGTTACGTCGTTGCCCATTACGCCAACATGTTTACAATGCTCCAGTTTAACCATGTCTACAAGTCTGACCTATGTGCATACATCGCTATCTGTTTGACGTATTTTGGCGGAATGAAGATATGATAGATTAGAAATGTAATAAATAGAAAACTAAACCTTACCATTCCGTTGATATATCAATTAAATTAATGTTACAAAACATCGTTATATCAGGATACAGCAAAGTTCACAACTCTGTCGGGGACACAGCTGGCGCTGTCGTCTGAGGCGCTGCAATTCGCTGTGTAGAGTTGCGTCCCTTGGACACACCAGATTGTGTGTAATCCGGTTCGCCCCAATGATGTTTCTAGCAGTGTCAGCACCATACCCGTGCTCGTAGGTTTCACAAGAATGGTAAATGTCTGAGACCTGCATCACTTCGGACCTTCCTCCAACATTAAGCTGCCACGTAGTGATATAACTGGAATACTGTTAAAAGTAGCGTTAAACACAACTCACTCACTCACTCAACTCTGTCATGTTTCATCCATCATCTGTGTTTCAGCTCGTCCCCTATTTCATGATGGAGATATTCAATGGCTTCCCGGGCATGACGGGTCTATTTTTAGCAACAATATTTAGTGCTGGACTCAGGTAATTATGATGAATATTTTCGTATTCATTAAAACCATACTTAATTCTTTGACTTTTCAGTTCTATTTCAGGCATCGTGTGATATTTTAGGATGGGGCGAAATTTATTTCATCAATATTTTTTGGGTCATGAAAATGGTGCCATAATTGAGGACGGTCACCTCAGGATATATGATCTATTGTAAGACATGCACTCTTCAAAAAAAGAAACGCACAGGTAGATTTTTTGTAAATTTATTGTACCTAATAAAGTCGATATATGAAATATGGTATCATAGATTCAAAAATGAAATTTTGGAGCTCGATAGTCACATGTTGTCGTTGTACAAAGGCGTTGAAAACTGTTCATTGTCATGTCACATAAGGCCACAAGGTTGCGCTGAACTCAATGACTCGTGTGGCCGCTCCGGGCAGCAATCACGGCTCTGCATTTCATCGGCACTGACTGGATAAGTGTACGAATTCTGTCCTGCGGAATTTTGCGCCATTCTGCTTGTAACACGTTGGCCATTTGTGGGAGTGTCTGCGGCGTGTTCTGACGTTGACGTACATCCGAGAGGTGTTCGATTGGGTTGAGATCTGGAGATCCTGACGGCCAGGACAAGTCGTTGATGTTGGCATTATGAAGGTAGTCTCCTGTGTGCGGTGGAGCGTTGTCCTGTTCAAACAGCTCCCTCTGGCGGTCAGTGATTGAAAGAAGGTGAGGTTGAAGAATTTGATTCATGTAGCGATTTGGTGTCAAATTTCCCTGAACCACAACCAAGTCAGATCGCGTGGTGTAGGATATGCCCCCCTACACCATGACACTACTGCCACCGAAACTGTCGAATTCACGTACAAAATTTTGGACAAAACGTTCATTTCGACGACGATAAACACGTTGTCTTCCATCTAGCCGGTGAAGAAAAAATCGTGATTTATCGCTAAACCACACTCGTCTCCAGTTTCTTAAATTCCAAGGCTGTAAGGTATGTTACCAACGCAAGCGTCGCTGTCGATGGATCTGTTGCAAAACAAGGACGATAACTGGTCTTCTGGTTGTCGGATTCCAGCCTCGCGAAGATGGTTCCTGACAGTCTGGTCCGATATCCTCCTCAAACCATGGAAGCATCCTGCAGTCTCCGTAGCTGTGGCACTGCGATGACCTTGGTGGATCAGTTGTAGCGATCCTGTGCAGGGTTGGTAACTCTTGGTCGGCCGTTTCTCGGACGGTCTGCAGTGGAATTGAACTGTGTGTATCGGTCCCAAAGGCGGGAAATGGTGCTGTGGTGGACGTTGAAGTGGCTAGCAACAGAAGACTGCGATTCCCCTCTTTGGATACGTCCTATCGGCAGCGCTGAGTCTCGGCATTTTCGAACTTGAAAAATGTTGACAATTGAATGATAAATTATTTGCTTATGCTTGTCTTTTTATAGCCACTACCACGAGTTACGGATGCCGAACATTGCACGTGAATTTTGCTTTACTTTTTTCCTCCATGGCATTTTTTATCAAATATGAAAACAATGCCGTTTAAGACATTGCAAATCAGATTCAATAAACTACTTACTACCTGTGCGTTTCTTTTCTTTTTGAAGAGTGTATTCCTAAATGGGTAGTCTGCAGAACAAGATACTTGTCGCCGGTTATTTCTTTGAATATTCTAGTTTATGGTTGGATGTCACTGCCATTTATTTAATTGAACTGTTTATTTACATTGTTCACTTTTATTAACTATATGGAAAATCTTTCTAAGTTCTGTCTCCTCCGTCATCAACGGCCTCGCCGCCAACACCATCGAGGATCTACTACGACCAGTGTTTGACCGGTATAACACAACTGAGAAAGGGAAAATCTTCACTGCCAAGATGTCAGGTAAGAGTCATTTGGGTCGTCATAGTTAAGAGGAAATTGTGAAATTCTCGATTCTCATTGGCCAGTCAGAGGACTCAAATCACAATAATCACTGCTAAATGAAACAGCACATTTGAAGGCGTCATCACCGTGGATCATGGAGTCAAGTATAATGATGTGAAACAGGAAAACAGCGTTTCACACTATACCCCGCCATGAGGCACTTTAGAAGTTACAAGAGCCCCATAAAACCTTAAGAAGAGATAGGCACCTGGGCCGCTTTTTGTCGTCAGAAAACAATATTAAATGTGAAATTAATACACACAAAAAGGTACCGAGTATATCTTAGATAAGCATGCAAACTTTCATTCATATAACTTCAGTAGTTTGAGAAATCTTGTCTCAATTTCACGTAGTAAGCACAAAGTTGAAAATCACGGAGCAAGGGCTATAACTGTGTAAAAATTGAATTTACATCAATGTTCGAACTCAGTTGAAATCATGACCAGTAACACCAGCGTGTAAAATTTCATTTCTCTGACTTAAATAGTTTTTGAGAAACTTTGAATCCTTTGAGAACCGGACGGACGGACGAACTCCGTTCCAATATCCCTCGCCCCACATCGTAGCGGGGGATGATAATGTTTGAGTATGTACAGTGACATTCTTCGTTCAAAAATTTGATTTTATTATTGGCGTTTCCTGAATTCACATTGATAACCCTACCCATGAAGATCCGGGGTAGAATAGGTCTTCAGCAACCCATGTTTGCCGTAAAAGGCGACTATGCTTGTCATAAGAGGACTGGTGTCTAACGGGATCGGGTGGTCAGGCTGCTGACTTGGTTGATGCATGTCATAGTATCCCAACTGCGTGGATCGATGGCTCATGATGTCAACAAATGGATTGTCTGGCCCAGACTCGATTATTTACAGACCGCCGTCATATAGCTGTAATATTGCTGAGTGAGTGCGTTAAACAACAAATAAACAAACAAACAAACAAACAAACAAAAGCATTGATAACCCACTCAAAACATTGGGCGTGCTGCAGAAGATGGATCCTCAAGCTGTGATTCAAATAAATATATAAATTGAATACGTTTATCAACGCATGATGAAAAACATGAATACATACAGTCAGAAACGTCCATTCTTTCTGGCTCAGGTTCATTGATCATTTAATGGTTCGAGCGCACGTGGTTCACAATGTTTCCAATGACCCTCGACCCCGTTCACTCTCGCGTACACACGAGAGGTTCAAAAACTCATACAACCAATTCAATGGGAATATTACGGAACGAGACTGGTCTCCGGAAAATAAAACGAAATGGGATTGCTTTACCGTATGTACTTTCTCACAGGGCGCATCCATACCCATGCACTCAATGTTACCAATTACCGAGGAGTTTGCCATTTATTTGTCATGGTAGAATGGAGAGCATACTGTGTTTCCAGTGGAGAGCTGGGGTACCAAATTCAAGCTGGTGGGGATAGGTCTCCAGGCAACCTTGATCCATTGAAAACACAGAATGTTCTGTAACTTAGTTCTAACATCTACCTCCACTTCTATTTGGCATAACTACAATATGTTATCGGATACAATGTTGTATCTGCAGAGCAATATGCAGACAATCGAGATACATAAATTATTAGATTATGTTGAGAATACAGATTATATTTAATTCCTAATACTTGAAATTTACGACACCGAAACACACGACAATAATTGTCTATTTCTCACATATTGTTCTTCTTAAAATAATCGGCGTAATTTCGCTCAATGAAGTAACTTTTGAAACTGCGTATGAATATAGAGGGAACCGTCACATTTGCCATTAAATGCCAACTGATTTCTAACCACAATTGACTATATAATCGACATCATATATCAAAACCGTTATATACCTTTATTGGGAATGTTGGTCAAAAGTTTATTGTGCAAGCTGACATTGAATCGATATCTGGAGATTACAGTATTGTTCATGTTCGGTGAGGGGGCGGTCGGGTAGCCTAGTGGTTAAAGCGTTGGCTCGTCACGCCGAAGACCCGGGTTCGATTCCCGACATGGGTACAATGTGTGAAGCCCATTTCTGGTGTCCCCCGCCGTGATATTGTTGGAATATTGCTAAAAGCGGCGGAAAACTATACTCACTCACTCACTCATGCTTGGTGACCTCAGCTGCATATTTATCGGATCTAGCGACTAAGTTTACCCGATTGGTTTATTGTATCGATAACTCTAGTCATTATGTGATGGATGTATTGCCCGTGTCGATTCTCGACTTGAAACAATATGTGAACCCGGAAATCTGCAGGTAAAAGGAATTTAGTGTGAAACCAACAAACAACCAACAAATAGGAATACGCTGCCATATGACAGTGTTTCACTTCATGATGTGTTCCGTTTCAGTGTTCTTCTATGGAGGTCTTTGCGTGTGTTTATCGTTTGGTGCGTGGAGTCTGCCAGGAACTGTTATCCAGGTCAGCACAATTCTATGGTGTAAATAATAAATAAATAAACAAGCAAACAAACAAATGACAAATTATTCATAATTTCATTTCTAACTGGAAATGAGTACCCATTGTTAAATAGCTCTGACTTTATTTTTTTCAAACAAGTACATACAATAAATGAAATCTCAAGGAATTATCTCGACTTGGTCAGAGGCCCCGAGTCTGCAGCAAATAACAGTAAAAAATCCCAATTGGAATATAAAAAAATTCCCAATTACTCAGAATTTACGAAAATTAGAACAGCAAAAATATCCTATGCAGAACATATCCAATAACTTCTCAATATGATTATGTTCGTTAATTACAGGCTGCAATGGGAATTGGTGGAGCTTGTTCAGGCCCTGTACTTGGCGTATTCCTTCTGGGAGCAGCAGCACCGTGGGGGAACATAACGGTTGGGGGCCGACTACTTGATATTCTGGGGAGATGGGATTTTTTATGGAGACGAGATATTTAATTCAGCTACAGCTGCAAACGCAGATCTTGTTTTAATTAAAACTATCAGCCTACATATGTTGTTTTGTTTGTTGTTTTTTTGTTTTTTAAAAACACGCACGTGACAACAAAGTTTTTTATGTCAGGCAGTATTTATGAATGCCGGATGTCTTGGTAGCAAAATGAATAGAGGATACTTGTCCATTTTTCGTCAATTAACGTGATTGTCTCATCGTATGACCTGCCAAGTTGATATTTTCATATCGCAGCGCCATCTCCCTACTGTATACAGTCACGTGTACAATACATGTATTCTCAGCTTACACGTGTCCGTCAACAGGGGGCTGCGTCTGGCTTGCTGGTGTCTCTGGTGCTGAACGTGTGGATCGCTCTCGGCGGCATCATGTACGGACGTAGACCTGTACCACTACCGCCGGCACCTGGCAACTTCTGTCACGTTCTGGATGCAGCCAACATAACAGGCATGTACCTCCCTGGTCCGTTCAACAATAGTACAGGCCTCTACCTCCCTGACCCCTTCAACAATAGAACAGGCCACCAAGATATCAGGACAAGGTAAGACGTTTATCTAACAACATCCATTTTTTCAATGAATTCCTATAGTTTCTTGCAAATGGTAATAAATAATCACTCGACCAATGTTCATATACGATTCTTACTTTCGTCACATCTCAACGAACCCATGAAGATCCGGGTCATAGGTCTTCAGCAACCCATGCTTGCTGTAAAAGGCGAATATACTTGTGGTAAGAGGCGACTAACGGGATCGGGTGGTCAGGCTCGCTGACTTGGTTGATGCATGTCATCGTATCCCAGTTGGGTAGATCGATGCTCATGTAAATCACTGGATTGTCTGGTCCAGACTTGATTATTTACAGACCTCCGTTATACAGCTGGAATATTGCCGAGTGTGCGTTAAACAAACAAACAAAACACAACTTTGTACAATCTATTGTGTATGTATGTTCAGTGGGCCGGTGGCCTGGAACTTCATGAATAAATCTAATAAGCCGTTAGCATTAGCATACACATTATTGTGAATGTCAAATGTATGATGTAGTCCCTCTACTCCTGTGTCTGGTAACACCGTCTTTAGCGATGTCAAATGTATGATGTAGTCCCTCTACTCCTGTGTCTGGTAACAACGTCTTTAGCTATGTCAAATGTATGATGTAGTCCCTCTACTCCTGTGCCTGGTAACAACGTCTTTAGCGATGTCAAATGTATAATGTAGTTCCTCTACTCCTGTGTCTGGTAACAACGTCTTTAGCGATGTCAAATATATGATGTAGTCCCTCTACTCCTGTGTCTGGTAACAACGTCTTTAGCGATGTCAAATGTATGATGTAGTCCCTCTACTCCTGTGTCTGGTAACAACGTCTTTAGCTATGTCAAATGTATGATGTAGTCCCTCTACTCCTGTGCCTGGTAACAACGTCTTTAGCTATGTCAAATGTATGATGTAGTCCCTCTACTCCTGTGTCTGGTAACAACGTCTTTAGCGATGTCAAATGTATGATGTAGTCCCTCTACTCCTGTGCCTGGTAACAACGTCTTTAGCGATGTCAAATGTATGATGTAGTTCCTCTTCTCCTGTGCCTGGTAACAACGTCTTTAGCGATGTCAAATGTATGATGTAGTCCCTCTACTCCTGTGCCTGGTAACAACGTCTTTAGCGATGTCAAATGTATGATGTAGTCCCTCTACTCCTGTGTCTGGTAACACCGTCTTTAGCGATGTCAAATGTATGATGTAGTCCCTCTACTCCTGTGCCTGGTAACAACGTCTTTAGCGATGTCAAATGTATGATGTAGTTCCTCTTCTCCTGTGCCTGGTAACAACGTCTTTAGCGATGTCAAATGAATGATGTAGTCCCTCTACTCCTGTGCCTGGTAACAACGTCTTTAGCGATGTCAAATGTATGATGTAGTCCCTCTACTCCTGTGTCTGGTAACAACGTCTTTAGCGATGTCAAATGTATGATGTAGTCCCTCTACTCCTGTGTCTGGTAACACCGTCTTTAGCGATGTCAAATGTATGATGTAGTCCCTCTACTCCTGTGTCTGGTAACAACGTCTTTAGCGATGTCAAATGTATGATGTAGTCCCTCTACTCCTGTGTCTGGTAACAACATCTTTAGCGATGTCAAATGTATGATGTAGTCCCTCTACTCCTGTGTCTGGTAACACCGTCTTTAGCGATGTCAAATGTATGATGTAGTCCCTCTACTCCTGTGTCTGGTAACACCGTCTTTAGCGATGTCAAATACATGATGTAGTCCCTCTACTCCTGTGCCTGATAACAACGTCTTTAGCGATGTCAAATGTATGATGTAGTCCCTCTACTCCTGTGTCTGGTAACAACGTCTTTAGCGATGTCAAATGTATGATGTAGTCCCTCTACTCCTGTGTCTGATAACAACGTCTTTAGCGATGTCAAATACATGATGTAGTCCCTCTACTCCTGTGTCTGGTAACAACGTCTTTAGCGATGTCAAATGTATGATGTAGTCCCTCTACTCCTGTGCCTGGTAACAACGTCTTTAGCGATGTCAAATGTATGATGTAGGCCCTCTACTCCTGTGTCTGGTGACAACGTCTTTAGCGATGTCAAATGTATGATGTAGTCCCTCTACTCCTGTGTCTGGTAACACCGTCTTTAGCGATGTCAAATGTATGATGTAGTCCCTCTACTCCTGTGTCTGGTAACAACGTCTTTAGCTATGTCAAATGTATGATGTAGTCCCTCTACTCCTGTGCCTGATAACAACGTTTTTAGCGATGTCAAATGTATGATGTAGTCCCTCTACTCCTGTGTCTGGTAACAACGTCTTTAGCGATGTCAAATGTATGATGTAGTCCCTCTACTCCTGTGTCTGGTAACACCGTCTTTAGCGATGTCAAATGTATGATGTAGTCCCTCTACTCCTGTGCCTGATAACAACGTCTTTAGCGATGTCAAATATATGATGTAGTTCCTCAAATCCTGTGTCTGGTAACAACGTCTTTAGCGATGTCAAATGTATGATGTAGTTCCTCTTCTCCTGTGCCTGATAACAACGTCTTTAGCGATGTCAAATGTATGATGTAGTCCCTCTACTCCTGTGCCTGATAACAACGTCTTTAGCTATGTCAAATGAATGATGTAGTCCCTCTACTCCTGTGCCTGGTAACAACGTCTTTAGCTATGTCAAATGTATGATGTAGTCCCTCTACTCCTGTGTCTGATAACAACGTCGCCAGCGATGTCAAATGTATGATGTAGTTCCTCTACTCCTGTGTCTGGTAACAACGTCTTTAGCGATGTCAAATACATGATGTAGTTCCTCTACTCCTGTGCCTGGTAACAACGTCTTTAGCGATGTCAAATGTATGATGTAGTTCCTCTACTCCTGTGCCTGATAACAACGTCTTTAGCTATGTCAAATGTATGATGTAGTTCCTCTACTCCTGTGCCTGATAACAACGTCTTTAGCTATGTCAAATGTATGATGTAGTTCCTCTACTCCTGTGCCTGGTAACAACGTCTTTAGCGATGTCAAATACATGATGTAGTTCCTCTACTCCTGTGCCTGGTAACAACGTCTTTAGCGATGTCAAATACATGATGTAGTTCCTCTACTCCTGTGCCTGATAACAACGTCTTTAGCGATGTCAAATATATGATGTAGTTCCTCTTCTCCTGTGTCTGGTATCAACGTCGACTCTGGTGTCTACTCCCTCTACAACATCTCCTACCTGTACTTCGCCATGGTTGGGTGTCTGGTGGCGTTTTCAGTGGGGTTGGTGGTCAGTCTGGCGACAAGTGAGTCATCTGTGTTAAATTGGCACCAGCAGCCACAGCCCGGCTGTGAATAGTTCCCTGAATTCATCGATATTCTAAACAGATTTTAAGTTTATTAATTTAAATATATTCATGTACTCTGCCCTTAACGGATGAGTCGACCCTTTATGACTGTTAACAAGAATAACATGAGGATGAATTCCGCTGTATTTATTGAGTTAATGTGGAGGTACATGTAGGTGGTGAATTATATAATGAAATGTATGTCGTCAGAACACCTGCATGAGCCGGTGAGGGATGAGAGGCTCCTCCTGCCCTTTTTGCGGCGATTCTGGAGCCCGAGTCAGACAGATGCATCACGACAGGTGAGTGAGTGAGTGAGTGTCTGTGTGCAGGGTAACTTCCATAATAGTCCAGACCGCCTCCGTGGTCTAGTGGTAGAGCTTCCACCCGGAGAGCGAAAGGTCCGGGTTTCGATCCCCAACCGCGTCATACCAAAAGACGTTAAAAGATGGTACTTGTTGTTACCCTGTCTGGCGCTCGGCATTAAGGGGTTAAAACAAGGACTGGTCGGCTCCGACTCAGTATACTGTGTCGGAGTGGGGTATTCATGTTAAACTGCGGCATGGTATCGCAGTGTGCTAGCAATATAAATCGGCATCAGTCCGGACTAGTACACGCAGTCACACAAACACACACACGTACATGCACGTCGCTATATAAGTGCAATAATCTTGGAAGCGACGTTAAACCCCATTTCACCTCACCTCACCATAATAGTCCAGCTTTATCACAGCAGCTTTTAAATAACCAGATTTGAACCTGGCAAGGCACTGACTGATCACAGAGCCTGTGCTCCCGTTCCAGTTATATAAGTCGCACCACGAGGAATAACAAGGGGGCGGTGGGGTAGCCTAGTCGTTAAAGCGTTCGCTCGTCACGCCGAAGACCCGGGTTCGATTCCCGACATGGGTACAACGGTGTCCCCCGCCGTGATATTTCTGGAATATTGCTAAAAGCGGCGTAAAACCATACTCACTCACACAGCGTTAACTTACGTTCTGCACCATCCCCACCACACTGATACATCGTCTCAGCACCACCGACCCGAACCGCAGTTGGAAATACTGTAATGACAAATAGCATATTCAAACTGAGTTGTCTTTACCAAATTCAAATGCCATTATTTCCTTTTCAATCATATTCTTTTCTTTTCCCTGAGTGAGTTATAGTTTGTCACTCGGGCATGATGTGTGACTAATCATCCATCGTAAAGTCCCTCAGTACCCTCTCTAATCTCAGTTTGAAAGTCTGCTGGAATATTGCTAAAGGCGGCGTAAAACCAAACACACTCACTCACTCATAAGTAAAGGGATTCGGCTGTATCGCGAGCGCCAAATCGATGGATTAGCGGTGAGTGAGGTGAACCGTTTAACCGTGTGCGAGACTATCAATACTACTACCACTACTACTACTGCTACTACGAATAACAAGGGAAAATAACACACATCCAACCATAGCGCTTAATAGCTCCAGGGGAACATGTGACCCATGATTCGTGGTTCGACTACCATTACGCCCGGATTCTAGGTTTGTCAGCATCACACCTGTGCTCCTGGTTTCGTTATTTCGGGCTTTCCTCCGCCACTGACACGCCGTGATATAACTGGAGTACTGTT